TTTCTTCCACACTTTTCCCTTCCACATAACTTTATATTAATGTGCTTTGATACAGCACTTTGGGAACATCCAATTTCTTTTGCAATTACCTTTTGAAGCTTTCCCTCCTTATGGAGGATGTCAGTGATGGTTTTCTGCACAACTGTCAGGTCAGCTATCTTTCCCATTAATGTGCTTCCCACTGAACCAGACTGAGAGACAATTTAAAGGCTCAGGAACCCTTTGCAGGTGTTATGGCTTAATTAGCTGATTAGAGTGGGACACATTGAGCCTAGAATATTGAACCTTTTCACAATATTCTAATTTTCTGAGATTGTGTGGGTTTGGGGTTTTCATGAGCTGTAAGCCAAATCATCTCAATTCTGACACATCACGGCTTGAATTATCTTGCTTTGCATGTAATGAGTCTATCTCATATATTAGGTTCACCTTTTAAGTTGCATTACTGAAATAAATGAACTTTTGCACGATATTCTAATTTTTCAGGTTTCACCTGTGTGTAATAATTGTAATGTAATAGGAAATTAAATATAAGAATATGATTAAGAAATGTAAATGATAACTTGAATGTTGATATAACTATTTTTTCAATGTTTTTAAATTGCGTAAAAATTGAATAAAGTTTATTTTTGAAAAAGCAACAAATGTAATTTGGTTCTGTCATGTGACTTCATGCTTCATGATTGGGCTGCTTAGTGACACAGATGCCAGTCTGAATTGCAGTCAGTAAGTGAGGACTACTTCAACTGGGATGTCACCAAGCGGGTTATGGCAGGTATTTTTTGCCCTTACTTGGAGCTCAAGGCTTCTATGGACATAAGTGATGCTTCAAATGTTGCTTTAGGCATCATTTCATCAGTTAAAATCCCCACATCTGTAAAGCTAGTGTCATGCAGACTGACAGGTGTGGCTCAGGGAAATAAAAGACAGAGTCCAAGTGTGCGTGTTGATAAGCCAATGCATTTATTCATCTGAATACAGACTGATCCCTCTTTTGGTATGAGAGCGATATATGCTTCCATCCACGAATTTGGTACTTTCGCTTCTAGCAATACTTCATTGAACATTTTCAGCATTGGTATACTTAGAATATTTTGCAAGACTAACAGAGTTCTGCTGGTAGACCATCTGGGCTCAGTGTTTTGCCATTCTTTTGTTTCTTAATTGTTTCTGTTAACTCCATCAATGTTATTTGTTCATTTGACATAGATTTCACTGTTTCAGATATTTTAGGTCATTCTGCTTTTTCTAAGCATTATTTTATCTTCTGAAACTGTCTCGATCATATAATTTTTCATAGTAATTTTGGATCACTTTCTTTTTATCATTTTGATGGTGAAGGTTTCCTTCCTCATCCATTAATTGGTGTATCAGTTTTCTTTCTCCTTTTTCAATTTGCATGCCATCCATCTTCCTGGTTTATTTGCATTTTCAAAGAAATTTTGTTTAGCGTTTTTAATTTTTTGTGCTAATTCTTCTTTATCTGTTAAATTCAACCTAGGTTTTATTATTCAATTGGGGTTTTTTTAGATTCTTTTTTTGTGGTTCCTTTTGTAATTCTATTTCTAGCCTCTTATATTCTTCTTCTAATATCTTTTGGTTTTGTTTCTTCTTATTTTTCTTTCCCATTCAAGTTATAGCTAAATCTCTAATATATGCCTTAGCTATATCCCATACATTTTGTAATAATATCTCTTCTATTCTTTTTAAAGAAAAAGTCTAGTTCTTTTTCCATGAATTGAATTAATTCTTTATCTTTTAATATTGATTGGTTCAACAACCATCTTAATTTTCTTTTTTGTCCTTTCCATTTAACTTTTATTGGATCTGCCCAATTACTTTTTTCTATCATTCTTTCTTGTACATTAGATTTTAGTTCAGCTGACATCCGTATCATATCTATTTTTGACCAAGACATATGCCTATTTGAATAGAATGAATATTGATTTTCCTTAGGATGTATCTCGCCATACATCTTGAATGCCTAGTTCTTCCGCTATTTTAAAGAAAGCTTTTGAAAACATTCTCCTAGTTTTTTTATTAACTGTCCTGGTTTTATTATCCAGTTCCCTATTTACAATTGCATTAAAGTCTCTTACTACACATATATTTTCATACTCCAATTCTATTAATTTCTTATGGAGTTTACCATAAAAGTTCTCTTGCTTGCTGTTTGGTGCAATTTCACAGGACTCAGAAGAGCCTGCTATTTTCCAGCCATTTACGCTGCAACATCAACTGGAAGTCTGTGGGGAGTCGTTTCTTGTCACATATCTGGTGTAAACTCTAAATATTTCGTCCATGGACGAAATATTTAGAGTCTACACCAGATATGTGACAAGAAACGACTCCCCAGAGCACCTTTTCTTTGATTACCTCTAAAGCATTTGCCAGCAGCTCTGCCATTATCTTCACCAAGTTTTCTCTCTTCTCTTCTTAATATTCTGAAATTGCAAGTAATAATCAGCCGTATCCATATCAAGTGATATTGTTTTCTCATGACTTTTATCTGCCAAAGTAAGTCTATAACCAACCTCTTCCACTCTTTTCAGCTTTCTCTTCAACTTTCTGAATTCCATTATTTGTTGAAGATTTTTTATTTTGTCCTCTACTTTTCCTATTCTTTCCTTAATGTCTTCATGCAAGATTTGAATCATAACTTTCATCTCTGACTGCATCAGTATTTATTTCTCTTACTGCAACATATCAAATGATTTTCAACCTGTGGACTAGATGCTGCTGCTGCTGAGGATGGCGCAGATGTAGTTTTCTTCATTTTGAGATGCTTTAATAATTTTAAACCAATTATTGAAAATAATAACTACGATACCCCAACTGCCCCACTATTGACTGCCAACTTCACTATCTCCTTCCAATTTCCACTTTTACAAAGCTATTCAGAACATTCAATGTTACAGTATCATTTTTTCCTTCTTCCTTATTATCTTCAATCTCCAATCTCCAAAAAATGTCAGTTTTTTTAAAAATTGTAATCCCAGAAGAGCATAATTGCAATCCACAAAAAAGAAGTGAAACTTCGTTATAGTCCAAGAGAAAAGCAAAAATATAAACTGTAAAGCAAGAGTTATTAGACTGTTAGCCCCTTCATTCTTCAAAAAAGTATTCTCTTCTTCTCTTATTAAGTTTGCAATCCACATAGGCTGACCAAGCCCCAGAATTCAACCATCAACTGTCTTATATCTTCAGAGGGAGAATTCACAGAGCAAAAAGTAAAAGAAAAGGAAATCATTTTGCTGTTCTCGGTTTCTATTCATTTTATGTTTATTTTCTGTATGACTTTATCAGTCTCTTGCAGCATTGTGGAGGAATTTGGGCCCACCCTTTCCCAGGGTTGTAGAGCAGGGGGTCACCAACCTTTTGGACCTCAGGGACCACCAAACTCAATTTTAAATCCTGTAGACCAGAGACCCTGGGAAAATCCAAAAAAAAGTCTGCAGGAAAATTCCCCACCCCGTTTTCCTACCAACCGATCATTCAATTGCGGGATAACATCTCCAACTCTATTCTCAGGGGGAGAAAGACTTTTGGTTTAATGCAAGGAAAGTAGCAGAACCAGCAAGTCTTTCTCTCCCCCAAATTCCGCCAGAAATTAGTCTTTGTGAAACCTTGTTGCGCCGGTGCAGCCTCTTGGAGCAGGATGCCTTGCCTAAGAGTCATTTCTGGTGGAGTTTGGGAGATAGAAAGACTTTTGCTGCTTTCCTTGCATGCAGCCAAAAGCAGAAGAAGAAAGAAGCGGAAAGAAGCAGCCCGGTGGCCAGGTGAGGCGCATAGGGCAAGTTCCTCCCCTCTATCCTTTCCCCGTCCCCTCATTACCTCATGTTGTTCGCAATGTAAGCAACACAAGCTTTGTGTTCCCGCAGGCCAAATGGGCGGCACAGCCTTGTGTTCCCACGTAGCCTGGGTTAATTGCTTTGAGGGATGCTTTGAGGGTGACATTTCTCTGCAGATCACCACAATTTTCTCGCGGACCACCAGTCATCCCGGCCCACTGGTTAGCATCCACTGTTGTAGAATATCTTTTTCTTTATCAGTAGATGGCGGTCTCAGCTGAGGTTTCAGCATTGTCTTAGTTCTAACAGCTATTAAATCCAATTTAAATTCAATTTATAAGAGCAAAGTCAATTATTAAAGTAGATAGATCCAGCATTGTGAAATGTCTTTCCAAAATAAAGCCTACCCAATTTAGACATCCAATTTTTTGTGCTTTGAAATCTTTTAATTTTTCCTCTCAGTTCTTTTGTTTAGGGTCTGTAGATTTTTCTCTATGTGATTCTTCGCCACTTTAATATATAGTTAAGAGTCTCTTTTGGATTTTTCCCTCTTTTCCTTTTAAGGTTAGGTTTTGAGTAAAAAAGGAATCATCTCAGCCAGATCTGGGTAGTCTTCCATGTGTCAAATGAATCATGATTAATGTAAGAGCTTATTGGAGCATTGTGCCATGTTTGCTTTTTCATTGTAACGTAAACACTTTTCTTTTCTCATTTTCTGCAACCATTTTATGCACAATTAAAGATACACTTATTTGAATCTTATTATGGACAAAGAGGATGGCAATAAGAGCACTCTGGACAACTGAGGATGACAAGCAATACTGAATAACAAAGCAAGTCAATCCAGAAATCAAAAGATTATCCATTTCCTTCAGAAAGCCACACAATTCTTCCACAGCAGGTGAGAGAGAAACAAGAGAAGATAAAGAGATTTCTAGCTGTGAAAAGTAGAGTTTGAAATTCAAGCATACATTACATGAAAAGTCAAGGGAGATTATTTTTCCATTCAGCAAAAGAGAGAAATATCTGGAAGTTACTAGGGAGGTAAAGGTCATTTGGAAAGCCATGTAGAGCAGACAGTGTTGCAGGCCTCACTCTGGGAGGAAAAAAATCACCAGTAATTTCTGACCTCCTCACGAATATTAGTTATGGAAAAGCTTCATAGATGTGCCTGTTGTGGGAAAGATACAACTTGAAAAACAGCTGATAATGCATCAGAGGACCCTGACTGGAGAAAAGCCGTACAAATATTCTGAATGGGGCAAAACCTTTGGTCAGAACAACTCAGTTGTGGTTCATGGAAGGACCCACAAAGGAAAGAAGCCCTACAAATGCTCCCAATGCGGTAAATGCTTTAGCGAGTATGGCAATGTGGACTCATACCAAGGAAAAACCGTTTCAATGTCCTGATTTTGAGAAAAGCTTCAGTAACAATTCCAACTTTGTTCAACAGCAGAGGACTCACACAGGAGAGAGACCCTTTGAATGTCCTGACTGTGGGAAAACTTCCAGTCACAATTCCAGCCTGGTGAAACACCAGAGGACTTACACAGGAGAGAGACTCTTTGAATGTCCTGATTGTGGGAGAAGTTTCAGTCAAAATTCTCATCTCGTTTCACACCGGAGGACTCACACAAGAGAGAAACCCTTTGAATGTTCTGACTGTGGGAAAGATCTCAGTATTAGGGTGAGCCTTATGAGTCATGTCCTTATACACACGGGGAGAAACCATTCAACAGAGTATGGACGGTGCTTCAGGCAACATTCCACCCTTATCACACACAGGAAAATCCACATGAGGCCTCAAGTGATAAGTGTAGAGAATGCTTGAATTTCATTTCTAATAGCCCATTGTAAGTCCAGCTGAGAAATTGACTCTTTAATTTGATTACAAAGAATTTGTAATGGTATTAGATGGGGAAGAGGAAAGAAAAAATTAGGACACATTACTTTGATAATGGTTATCTGGCCTTTAGCCTAAGAAGTTGCTGGATATTTGGACAATTATGTAAAAATGTTTTTGGGAGTGTTTTTTGCATTTTTGTGGTGGTAGATGATAGAAATGCTACGTGCCATGAGTTCCAGCCATTTTTTCCCTGGGCGCCCCAACGATTTTCAGCCTTAAAATTCTCCAGCCAGAATCTTTTGGGGATTGGAGCATTGGGACTATAGTTAAGAGATTGAGAAAGCAAGAGGAGAAGAGACATGGGGCTGAAGTGGATGGTTTTCAGTGTTCTTCTTTTCCTAACAGTCCCAGAAATTTCAGTGCACCAAGCATGCCTGTTCAGATTGTGTCAAGAATGAGGCACGCAAGTGGAAGAAATCATATGAATTGCAAATATATTGGGGGAAGTTGGGGCAGTGACAAAAGCAGTGTAAAATTTCAGATTTAAAATCTGTTCTGCCCTGCAGGGGACCTTCATGGTTCAAAAGCTATAAGAGGCAATTAGACTGAAACATTTCAGTTGCTCCATATTCCTTGACTCCCCAGATTTCATTCCGTTGGTGGTGCATCCTTTAAAGCTGGTTCTCCTTCACGGTTGGGTTGACATGTTGTGATTTTATGGACATGTTCTTTTCTTGGAAACAATATGGAACTCTTATGCCACTGCTATCTTCTCTGAGAGTTTTTTCTAAACTTCTATATCTAGAAAACAAACACAGGATTTCCCTGTGCGTATTTTTCTCTCTCTCTGAATGTATATACCTGCAAATGTATAATCTCTCCCAGGACTTCCAGATAAGCAGTCAAGTGAAAAAGAAAATACACTCCCCTTGACTTCTATGATTTTATATATCGGGATGTAGTAAAAATCATTCGGCCTTTGCCATTCTTCAGTTTCCTCCACAACCTCCACACTTACACTCCCTGTCAGCTGTTCCTCCTCTCCCTTGGAATCAGACTCCAACAGGGGCATGACAGAGGCAGCCAGAGCCTGGGCCGCACAGGAACTTGCTAGCAAAGGCTGGCAAGCAAGCGAGGGAGCCAGGAGCGAGTGGCCAAAGAAGATGAGGCGAGAAGAGTGGGTGTATCTATAAGGTGGGGCGGGGTCAGCCAGGAGTGGGATTTGGGGGCTCACTGAGCTGCACAGAGTCTTAGCTAGGGGATCACTCAAGCCCCCAGCAGCCCACCCCTGCTTCTCAGCCTCAAACATACATACAGAGCAAACACAAACTCATCACATGGTATTGGGACCTTCTGCGAGGAGACGGTGCATGGAATATTACCCCTGGCGCTGTGAGACATGTAAATGTGTGCTCTGTAAGATTGGACGAAGAAAGAGGTGGTTGTTGTGAAAGAAGCGGGGACAGTGAGTAAAGGGCCTCTGAAGCAGGGGAAATGGGACGGAGGTAAGCGAGCCAAGCTGGCGAGTCTGCAGTGGGAGCAAGCGGAGCAGTGAGGGGGCAGGTTTTGAAAGATACATATCTCACAGCGCCAGAAGGACTTTCCCAAGCGCCACTCTCGATTCTTGGGCAGGTTTTGGATTTCACTGTCCTGGCAGGCCGTAAAAACCTCAGACAAAGAGCTCCATGATCCCACACGCTTGTGAACCTCTTCCCTTGCTGATGCCCTCTTCGGCCAGGTGCGGAGAGGCTGTGTCTTCTGGAACAGGGAAGGCAGCGCTCTGGCAGGCTGGAGAAGAGCCAGGAGGGAGCAGAGCAGCCGACAGCATTCGGAAAATTGTACGCACTGTGAGGTGGCCCTAAGGCCCGCCCACTCTGGTGAGTGGGCCGCGTGACCTGCATAGTAGGTCATAGCAAAGGCAGGCAGGCAGGTGAGGCAGGGAGATCAGGTGGACTGCAGGGACCGCGTGGAGCGAGTGAAGGAGCCAGAGAGCTGTAAGCATGATTAGCTATCAGAGAAGGCAGGTGAGTTGAGATAAGGAGTGACTGGGGGGGCGGGGGAAAGGGGGGGGGGCAGCCAGTGGTGGCACTTGCCAGTTTGCTAAACTGCGCATTATCTCCCTGGTTCGTGCGCCTGAATCGGGGAGAACCAGCAGCAGCCCACTTCTGGGTCTGGATTAGAAGATCTCCAAGATCCTTTCAAATTCTATTATTCTTTTTTGTTGCGATGATATTTTTATGTCCTGATAAGTAAAACCAGAGGGTGTTCTTTTTTTTTTCACTTGCCTGTATTTGAAAACAACCCTTTGCTCTGCTAAGAATTTGTGATTGACCCAGTCAACAAATGAATTTCATCATTGAATGGATATTTGAACCTGGATCTGGGTAGTCTTCCATGTGTCAAATGAATCGTGATTAATGTAAGAGCGTATTGGAGCATTGAGGCATGTTTGCTTTGTCATTGTAATGTAAACGTTTTCTTTATTTCTCATCTTCTGCAACCATTTTATGCACAATTAAAGATACTCTTTTATTTGAATCTTATAGACAAAGAGGATGGCAATAAGAGCACTCTGGACAACTGAGGATAACAAGCAACACTGAAAAGCAAACCAAGGGAGTCCAGAAATCAAACTATTTTCCATTTCCTTCAGAGAGCTACATAATTCTTCACCTTCCTCATCAGGTGAGAGAGAAACTAGAGAAAATCAGAACAACTCCAGCTCATGATACATCTGAGAACTCATACAGGATAGAAACATTTGAACGTGTTTTTTGTGGGAAAAATTTCAGTATCAATTCTAACCTCATTAGCCACCAGATGATTCACACAGGCGAGAAACTCTGTAAATGTCTTGAATGTGGGAATAGTTTCAGTCAGAATTCTCATCTCCTTGCACACCTGAGAACTCACACAGGAGGGAAACTGTTTGAATGTCCTGATTGTGGGAAACTTTTGAGTCAGAATTCCCACATTAGCCACCAGAGGACTCACACAGGAGAGAAACCATTTAAATGTCCTAATTGTAAGAAAAGTTTCAGTCACAATTCCAGCCTGGTGATACATCAGAGATCTCACACAGGAGAGAAACCCTTTGAATGTCCTGATTGTGGGAAAAGTTTCAGTCAGAATTCCAGCTTGGTGATACACCAGAGATCTCACACAGGAGAGAAACCCTTTGAATGTCCTGATTGTAGGAAAAGTTTTAGTAACAATTCCAACCTTATTAACCACCAGAAGATTCACACAGGAGAGAAACCCTTTGAATGTCCTGACTGTGGAAAAAGTTTCAGTACCAATTCCAGCCTTGTGATACATCAGAGGACTCATACAGGAGAGAAACCCTTTGAATGTCCTAATTGTGG